CCCTTCACTTTTACGTAACTCTGAAATCACAATACCGATGTGTATTTTGAAGTAATTGTGTTGGTGGTCCCTTCGTTCTTTCTGAACTTCTAACAGTTAGCTAAGCAAACACACATGACTGATTAAAAGAAGAAAGGGAACTATTTTTACAGGGACCATTAAACTTTAACTGCCATCTGGCAGGGAATGATTAGAGAAGATCAAAATTAAGGCAGTCAACACAAATACTGTGGATACCTCAGGGAGTTAATGTGGATAGAAGACGGTGGACTTGTGGCTCTGTTAAGAGACAGACAGAGGAGGAAGTGGTGAACACATCCTTTATGACTGCTGCCCTAATGGCCACATTCACAGCAACAGAAGCAGAGAAAGAAGAAATCAAAACCACCTGGGAATAATCAGACGTTTGCTGTCATAAAAAAAGAAAGTTAAAGGATTATACAAGAGCCACACCATTCTTGTTCCCCAACAAGCCAGGAAGGAAATTTTTATTGTGAAGGTGTGTTGCAGTTGGCAGGTTATCTACTATCTTTACATAGGCATTTTAAATAGGGTCAGTAATAAATCTTTTAATTGAAAGGCTTTACGGAACACAGACCTGTGGTTGATCTAACTGAACACTGGATGTCACTATTTATACACACTATTAGTCATTTTAGAGACATTAAAAACACGGTCCAGCTATGAATGGGACCAATCCATACATGGTTGTTTGGGTTTTTTTAAAATCAGCTATCTTTATTGTAAGATTAAATTATTCTTAATTATCCTAGAGATAGCAGTTTCCATGAGCCAAAGCTTCCAAGCTGCCTAGATATGCACCGGTCATTTTTTACAACTACTCAACTATGTACCCCAGCAATGCTGCTGGTAGATATTTCTTAACAAGCAGACCATGACTGCCTTCATATTTTAGGAGAAAAAATTGAGGTTTGTATAGAGAGATAGTGGACTGGCCGTTCACTGCAACATCTCAGAGCTGAGGCTCTGACCAGGCAGCCTTGTCACTTTGCTGTTATGACTGGTAAGAAACAATCAAAATACAACTCACCCAAAAGTGCAACAGCCCTCCCATGAGGCAGCTCCTGGTCTGACTGTTCTGCAGGAGAACCTTCTTTTCACCCCTCATGAGCTTTTGTGTTGGAAAACCCCTGTTCTCTCAAGCACATGCCTTAAAGTTTTTCATTTCATGGCAGTAATAACACACCTCTTCTCCTACTCTGCTGCCCTTACCTGAGGGTGCTTTCTCAGGTATACAATTATTATGAGGGAGCACTTCCAGGAGACTCATCTTCCTTTATCTTTAGAGAAGAAAAAGAAAAACAAGGTATCTCTGAGTCCACATGGTATGGAAAAGCCCACAAGGTCAGGTTAGCTGCTAAAAAGACTAAGGGCAGAGGACAGGTGAGAGGATGTGAAGCTTAGTCACAATTGATAAGTAATGTACTGTGAAATGAGGCTTATTTTTTGTTTCTTGAGCTCAATACAGAATTTTGGAGTTATCAATAGCATAGGAAAGCACATTAAGTATGCTTCAAAGCCTGTGAAATCTTGTCAACTGTACCCAATTCATAAATATGCTAAACAACAAAATTATGAGAAATTTAAAACACATTACTACTCTGAAATATGCAGCCTGTAGAAATGTTTGGTTATTTTAGACCTTGATTCCCAACAGAATTTTTCAATATACTCATGTGTCTACTCGTTGCTCTGCATCCTTGAAATGCTAGGACTCTAAAAAAGGTAGAAGTAGAAGTAGAAGTAGAAGTAGAAGTAGAAGTAGAAGTAGAAGTAGAAGTAGAAGTAGAAGTAGAAGTAGAAGTAGAAGTAGAAGTAGGAGACTCTTCTGCACATTCTTAGATTCAACACTTTTTTAGGAAGAGGTAAAATTCAACTAAAAACAGAGTCAGGTGGCTTTTGCTAGTAAAGCGAACAACAGAAAATACCTTTCCTGATTTGAAAAAATACATTTCTATGACCAACATGTGAAGCAAGACCTTCTTAGTGCTATTCAGCCAAAACACTATGGATGTCAAGAGGGTTGTGTTTCTTGGTTTATTTTCCACAGATCCTGGCTGCATAATGGAATATCTAAGAGTAAGAAATTATGACTGGAAGCACATGGCTGGAAATTATCTATCCTTAATCTTATTTTATTCCAAATAGTATTTTCTGAGATATATGGTAGGGAAAATATTCTTTTGTTTAACTGAAAAGTTATATTTTAAAATTTGAGCAGAGGAGGCTGTTTTGCGGAGGCTTGTGAAGAGGTTTTGCTCTTCCTTCAGCTATTTCTAGCCTTTATACAGTACGGTGTAATTCTGCTAACACAAGTAATCTGTTCAGGGGGCAAAACAGGAGTCAAGATACAATATACTAATATGATACTAATGTGATATGGACAATATATCAATACAATATAATGTATCTTATATAGAGTATTACATAGACTAGTAACTTTATTAAGCAGCATGAATGTTGTTGCACATTTGTGCCATTTTACAAATGGGTGGAGGCAGAATATGCCTTACACAAAAATCTGGGACCTGGAAAGGAAAAAGCTGTGGTGCAAAAGAAGCTCTAACATTCTCTCCTCAGAATATACTACAGACACAAAGCAGTAAAAAGAGACCTGAAAAAAGCAGCACAGCTCTGGTAAACTTCTGCAGTTTGTTGTCCCAGCTTTGATGCAGTTAAGACTGCTCAGAGTATATAACAGCCTATGGCTCACTCCTGTGAACAAGGTGCAGAGCATTCATTCTCCACATGCAAAATTCCAAGCACTGAGCCAAACTGCAAGAGAAATACAGTAGACATTTGTTGATTTTTTTTTTTTAATAATACCCACAAGCATCTACAGATGTGATCCCATGTAATGAAGCATGTGGCCTTAAGCTGGAATTATTTGCAAACAGCAGGATCTCCTGGCAAAAGAGACGGCACTTGCTGTGCTATGAAAGCTGTCCCTCTAAAACCATGCTTGGTTAGCACCTATGCCCTGTTGAAATTGGCATAGATAATTCTGAGTGGGAACAATGCCAGCACGACAGATGGGAATGAATACAGGCATGCCAGAGAACCAGGATGTTCACTGAGTCTGAGTACGAGGGACAGATTCCTTTCCAAGAATTCAGAAATGGCAGGCTGTCCAGTTTCTCTGCTTTAGGTATGAAATGTGAGAATGTATTATCTCTTTAGTAACTATGAGCAAAATCAATGATAGTAATTTAAAAATAGCTCATCAGAGCCATGCAAAGCATGACAGTAGGCAACTGAATTAAAGCAACTTTTTCTCTGGATTCAGACTGGCACCAGGTCCTAGAGGGCAGAACCTGTGCACGGGAGTCAGAAGGATTCCACAGGTTTTCTGCTAACTGGTTCAGGCTGAAAAGCTTTTAGATGATAATGAATATTGTTCATTTGTACACTGCCTTTCAAGCTGTGAGCCTAAAGCAATTTGCAGAGGTATGAGAATCTTAACTCATAGCTGGGAGGTGTGTCATTTACAATTAAGCAGATGAATCTTGCATTTATTAATGGATTATAGTGCCATTTCCCCTCCAACCAGGGATCATCTGCTGGAAGTAGAGACTCTGAAGGAGGTGGAGGAAGGCAAAATCTTTCTGCCACAGTCCAGTGTACCCTGCTTTTGCCCTTTGCATGACACAAATAGCCATAACAGATCAGTTATCCAAAACACTAATTTAATCTCCAGAAGATTTACTAATTCCTGTGGGGTTTTCTTGAGCACTGAACAGCAACGTTTCCTATTTCTCTTTTCATATTATGAGTGGCCAAAATGTATGACCCAAAAACACTTGTCTAGGATCATTTATATAATTCTGGGAAACAAGAAAAACAACAAATCTAAGAAAAAATGCTTAGATATTTCTGTTTAAAAACTAAGAATCTGATGTTGCAATTTCCTCTGCACAAAAAGCCTGTATTTCCAGAAGAGCCCATATGAAAACATTCCTCCATTTTTGATTTCTTCAACTTCAGCTATGAAAATTGGATATTTCTGACAAAAAATGCCTTCAATTTGGGCAACTTGGCTAATTTGGCTGTCTGTACTGTGTATAATAAGAAGGGTGTCAAAATTGGGTTGCCAATATTGTGTACTAACCAGTGCAGCCAATAGTGTCAGCTTATAGCTGAACTTCGTTTTTTGTTCAAAAGGTGTTTAGTACTGTTAGCAGCATAAAAAACATCGCTGAATTTCTTTTCATTCAATCCAGTCATATTTTGCAACACAGAAATTCATGTGTGTGTTATTAGTGAACTGACTGACCATTTCAGGTATCAGCTGTTTTTTGCAACCCAGCCTTGAGGAATATTATGAGTCATCAGAGTAGGAAAACTTAGTTAAATAAGTTTATGTTCTAAAGTAAAGCATGAATATTCATTGTCAATGTTCTGAATTTTCTGTGCATTTATAAAAATAGCTTTGATTAGACACCAGTGGATTGTTTTATTACAGATTTTCCTCAAAAATCAGTTTCAAAAAAATATTGGGCAGATACATAATGAGAATTTTTAAACACACGAGAGTTCACCCTGACTGTGGCAATCCTGACGCACACAGCATAATAGATGTGAAGCGTAAAGTGAAACTATTCATGAACCTGGTTATGTAAGTAGGGTCTGCTACACCATAGCTTATATGTGTCAAAATGGGATGTTGTCAAGAGGAAAAACATTCTGCAGAATATCCTTGTAAAGGAGAAGTTTAGAATTTAGTTTTATCATCTGTATTCTTACGAAGCATCTCTTATGATCCAGCCAATTCTGCAATTAAAACAACATTACTTATGCCAAAGTTGGCCCACTACTAATAATCAGTGAGGTAAACAAGTATTAAGAGAGTGCTACCAAAAGAATTTCTACTTAAAGCAGAGCCATCTAATAATGTCTTTGTTCGTTCTTCCCAGAGCAAAAATGGTTTCAATACTCTGGAGTGTGTTAATTCTGCTCTACATATATCTTCTTTCCACAAGCCATTGCTCCAGTTCTATGAGCCTGAATGGGAAGATTCAGTCCTGAATAGGAAGATTCAACCGCACAGCTGTGAATGGAAGAGGTAGAACTGGCCCAGGCTGTGAAAAACCCTGAAAACCCCTGACTTTGTAAATCAATATCAATCAATGCCCTGCAAAGTACATCATAAATCTGGATGTTCAAGAGAGCTAACCCTGAGGTAATACACCTTAAGTTTTAAAATATTTCACAAACATTAGGATAATCTCAGGAGGCCCTTGATCCAATTTTGTCCTTTGGGGCCTTCCAACAATTAAGAGTTATTGGAATATATTGGTTTTCTAGACACATCTCCTCTTCAAAACAGATTAAAAAAAAAAAAAAAGACTAGTGTGAGTGTGTGACATGTTTTGAGTTAATAATCCTCTGCTGGGAGATAAAACTTAACCTGAAGGAATAGGTTTCGATCTAGCAGCAGAACATTTTATTTAGGCTTTGGACAATGGGATTTCTCTTAACTAGCCAAGATTTCTCCTTCAGCAAATACAGAACATTCAGATATAGGCATTCATCTTTTATAAGTTATTAATAATAAATGTTGAATTCTGGCAAACCGTCCAGTGCAAAGCACTCCAGACATGCTCATTTATTTAGCATTTCACAGAATTGTACTTGTTGAACTGCACCAGTATGCAACTACCATCATTTGTCTGTACCTGGAGGAAAACCAACCCAGATCTATCAGGCAGGCATTCCAGTTTATGGGTACTGTGCCCAGTTGCCTTATTGCCTGCATTCTCGACAGAAATAAGGCTTAATAGCACTCTAAGAAGTCACCAGAAAAATGCCATTTGTATGCAACACCCATTCTGCTGGATATTCATGTGTGGCAACATTCAGAACCTATAGGTGTAGATGTTTTCCTTCATTTCAAGGTTATAAGTTAAAGTTCATGTCACTGTAGGACTGATCCATTGCATGGTGAACCTAGGAAATTAGCTTTTTGGCAGTGAGGGTGCAACAGACATTGCTTTTCTAAAAATAAGGACAAAAAGACTGGGAGAAGCTTTATGGTGCCAGGAGAAGTTTCTAGAAAGCTTGGAAAATTTGGGATGACCTTTTCTCTCTCCTTTCTGGGAAAGGCGAAGGCCATACTAGCGGAAAACAGCTGGTGGTCACTTGCTGTTCTTACTGCCCTGACACAAACCTGGCTCAGCAGCAGGGAATTGCAAGGCCACAGGAGCTGTGGGAGAGTACTGGACTGGCTCTTCAAGCCCCCTGTACTGCTCAAACATCTGCACTCCATCTTCCTTGCCAGAGGCAAAATGGGGAGAAAACCTCCTCTGTCATCCTTGGCTCCTGCCCACATGCATAACACAGAGAGACAGTTGGAAAACTGGGAACCTGCTCCAAAAGACTTTTAGAAATGTGGTGAGCAACTAGAAATTACACTGTCTTTAGTGCACTGATGCCCTTCCTTGGGAACCTACCAGCAGGCCAGCCATAGGATAGGAAAGGGTGTGAGATTAACAAGTGTTTCTTTATGAAGATCTGCTTGAATTAAACTCAGCCTGGCCCCCAGAGATTAATAACAGCTCTTCAAAATCCTCCTGAAAGGAACGTCTGAGTCACATTCAAAACACAGTATCAGATGTTATGCCTTAAAAGCAACAATAAACCAGTGTTTAATAGTGGTTTTGATACTGTTCACAAAAAATGGCTTGTGAATGTGTTTTTTACAAAACATTCTGGGGTGGGAATTGTGACAGAAGAGAACACTTCTCCTGTGAAAGAAGAGGGTTTCTATTTAATGTGGTTTTGAATCCATGTGACTTTGTGCTGTGTGTACTGCACAGGAGGGTAATTGCCACTTTCTTCCCCATTCATGAGAGCTGGGGGAAGATTTGTTTTATGCCTGGAGGTCCAGACCTCCAGTTTCCCAAGGAGAAAGCATGTCTCTAACTGCTGTACATCCTTCCATGAAGTGGATTTCTTTGTTGCAGACACTCTGCTGGCTTCTGCACTTCCTAAGGTGAGGTATTTGTCTTCAGGAATGGGATACTTTGCATGTCACTGTACAGCAGCATGTCACATTGAAGTCATTCCAACACTACAGCATTTGCCTTTGCGTTATGGTTTTATTCATGGTGATGGAAATACACATTCCCACAATAGCATATGGATTGAAATTTTTTGAGTGAAGAATTCTAACCATTAAAAAGTTTTGTCATTGATACTTATTTCTCAGTATTTGTCTATGGAAGAACCATGTGGCAGACACTTCAGATCACCTCAGTTCCCAAAAAATGTGTGTAAGCTGTGAAAAGAAAAAAATACCCAGAAAACCCAAAACAAACAAACAAACAAACAAAAACCTGAAAAGCACCCAAGAATACTGTCTTATAACCTCTTCTGATGGCCTTTACAGACTGACTTTTTACTGCTCTGTTACTATGAGTCTGGATGCACACTGGTTTGGTTCCTGCTGGATTGAGGCAGGGAGCAGAAAGCTGGGAAATTCAAATTGGACCGTTGTCTCTCACCTTCGGACCTACAACTGAGTACACCTCTCCCATACCTAAGGATCAGAAGACACTACGTTGTAGGTTATAAAAGCAACATTATGGTGAACATTGGTACATAGCTGTAGAAAGCACCCATTGACCATGTTTGTTGGGGAGTTGCTGATATGGAGCATGTCTCAGCTTTGTGGCATCTGGTTTAACCAGTGACAGCAGCATCAATCGTCCTGTAAATTTGCAGGAGCCATCCTGAGGCTGCTCCCATCCCTAAATGCAGCACACACAGCCTATGGTCCATTGGAGACCGTTTGCAGCACACTATTTTAGAATTTATTTTTATGGCACAGATTGTGTCAAAGGAAAATCCTACAACTTAATGTTTACCAGTGTTTTACTCACAGCGTCGATTTTTCAGTGTCTTTAGTAGTTGGCACTAATACCACTTACAATAGCAATTGACCATTTAAATAATAATCCCGTTATCAAATGAAAAACATAAAATCACATGTAAGTGATTAAAACGGGAATCTCGGGAACACATGCTCAGCTCAGTGAAGATAATCCTATTTACGTTAATCTTGATTAAAAAGGATTCTTTCGTTACTTGGGTGTGAATCTGCTCATCGTGCACAAATGACTGATTGAACAGGGCCCTTTTGCACACAGCAGGCGTCCTCCATCCCAAGGGACGCACCCCCTTTCCCTGCCGTGACCCGAGTCCCGGGGAAGGGGCGCGACATCGGCATCGACACCGCCCTTGGCAGCGCCGCCCTCACGGTGGTGCCGCCCTCACGGTGGTGCCGCCCTCACGGCGGGACCGACCCCGCGAGCGGCGGGCGCGCCTCCACTGCGGCTGCG